ATAAATTTAAACCTTTATGCAAAGGTAAAACATTTACAGTCTTGGACAGATGATTAAAGGTGAAAAAGTAGGATTTGTTACATCTAGTTTGAAAACCCTGATTTTTCTAGTGAAAAACCAGTAACAATCTCAAAATAGCAAAAGTCCTTTTTGTGATATCCTTAAGCACTTTTTAACAGAAAGAAGAAGGTTTTCTGGTTGTTTTTTAAGTATATGACAAGGGGCATGGGGTTGGCTGTAACAGAAATGCCAGCTCATACCCTTAATTTCTAACGTTTTCAAAAATGAATCTTTAGTTAACAACATTTTTTTCAGTAGGTAGCTAATAAGGAATCTTAATGTTCATTAAATTCTCACATAATATTCAGAGCAATACTTTAAAATTTTGCAATTTTCATTCTTTTTCTGAAAAGGCTTGTTGGATATTTAATCAAGATTCCTGCCTGAATATGGTGGCTCATGCTTGTAATCCCAGAATGGAAGACTAGAGGAGGACCTCTGCTGCAAATTCTATGCCAGCCTGGGCTACAAAGTGTGACCCTGTCTCAATAAAACTAGGGGCAAGAGAGATGGCTCAGCAGTTAAGAGCACTGGCTGCTCTTGCAGAGGACCTGGGTTCAGTTCCCAGTACTCACATGGTGGCTAACAACTATCCATAACTCCAGTTCCAGGGAATCCTATGCCCTCTTCTGGCCTCCAAGGGCACTGCACAACATGGGTACACTTACATACATGGAGGCAAAACACTCATATACATAAAAATAGAAAGTAAAAAAAAAAGTTAAAAAACCCACCCAAACAAAAATCTGTCTAAAACATTAAAAGGCTCAGAGAGGGGGACAGTAAAATGGCTCACCTAGCTTGGCCACCTGACTTTGATTCCTGGAACCCACATGGTGGAAGGAGAGAACTGACTTCTGCAAGTTGTCCTTTGACCTCCACATGTCCTGTTGTATACATGCATAATAAATGTAACTTAAAAATTTAGAAATTCTTTTTTAAAAAAGGTTAGGAGAAAATTGTTAACATATATAATGGTCTTTTGGATGGGGAAAAAGGATTGCTTTGAAAATAAGGGTTTTGAGATTTTTTTAAAAGTCTCGATCCCATCTGTATAATAGAAATATCATTGTCTTTCTTTACTGTTTATAAGGATGTTTACAAGAAATCAGGTGGGTCACACATGTAATCCCCACACTTGGGAGGATGAGGAAGTAGAATTATTGTGAGACTGAGGCCATCCTAGGAGAACAGAGTGACATGGTCTCAAAAAAGAAAAAGAAAAAAAAAAGAAAAAAGAAAAGAAAAAATGTGTTCACAAAAAAATAAAGACCTTGAGCAGCTCAGGGATCTCGGGGGGTGGGGGAGTTTCAACAAAAAAAGAATGTATTTTTCCCAGTAAGAATCTTGCACAGCAAATCAATGATTTGCCTTTTTGATGCCTGCTGAACCCTCACTTAGAAATTTATTTTTAAAGATTTATTTTAAATTATGTGTGTATGTATACATTTGTGTGTGGGCAAGTGTCCAAAAGACCAGGAAACGACACTGGATCCCCTGGGGCTGGGTTGCAGGTGTCTGTGAGCCACCCAACATGGGTACTGGGAACTGAACTGAGTGCTCTGCAAAAGCAGTACACATCTCACTGCTGAGTCACTGCTCTAGTTCCTCACTTAGGATCTGACTAAGAACACTGCATAAGTTTCAAAGGTTTCTACTTGGTTGAATTTTCCTCACTTAAGCAAAAATCCAAAATGGTAACTATGGCGTATGCCTGACTTCATGCAAAAAAGAATCATTCTTCATGCTGTTTAACTAAATTAATGAAAACTAAGAAACTCTAAGGAATGCTCTCAAAATTCTGTCAAAGCATAACTTGTATAAGAATCACCTGACAGCAATCTGCTCAGGCTACACTTATGATTTCAACAGGAATAAGTTTTGTCATTTACCTCATGTTTATTATCATTAATAGTTGAGGATTTCTGTGGTGCCCTAAATATTGTAGCAACTAGGAGAAACATTTTAAGAGAACTATCCATGAATCGAATCTTCTCTCAAAGGAAAAGATTAATGCATTTTTCTAACATAATTTGAAGGTCAAGGAGGAAAGTGCAGGCTGGTTTCCTTCCAAACAGCAGGGTAAGAAAGTCACAGTTTAATCTTCACTCTCTTCTGACTTAGTAACTTATTAGCAGAGCTTATCCATTTTCCTTCCTTAACTTTCTTCCCAAACTGTTCACAGTAGTTCACCCTCTCACTGCCTCTAAAATTCTGCATGCTGCATTCCTCAGTAATAAAAGTGTGAAGCCTGAGCCAAAAAGATATCAGGAAGTTTTAATAAGGATTTTGCTATCCCTATGTAATTTACGTTTTTTTTTTTTTTTTTTTACAAAATAGAATCATACTACAAAATTATCTTTCTGCAAATATTTCACTCATTATCTTGAACCACAAAGCTTTTAAGAAGCTGAGTCAAGATGTAAAATCATGTGTCAGATTCCAATGACATCTATATACATACATACACATGTATGTATGGATGGATTTAGTTACAGATTATATATGAGTAACTTCAACTTGCATGATGTAAGAAGTTTCCAGTTGAAGTGGTCATACTTTTAAAAATTCATTATCTGATGTCAAAAGTTCTAAGGCTACAAATTAAAGATCATCTAATACCACTCTCACTCTATTTATCAGTGAGATAAAACTAAATAGGGATAAAGGATAGGTCAAAGCAACAATCTCCAATTTGTATAAAGAGTTCATTTCTTGTTTAAAATTACAAGGCTCTACTTCAATAATAAATTACTAAACAGTACTGAGGCTTATTAGTTAAGCCATGTAATTGCTGAATTGGCAAATTAAAAATTTTTAGATACCCCAGCATACACAAGTCCATGCAAACTCAGGCAGACAATAACCCAGCATAGAACTGGAAAAATGAACATCAGACCCCAATCTTATCTGAAGGAATATTAGCAACTGGTTGCTGCTAGATGAAGAAGAGCTGATCTTCCTAAAACAGGGAACTCTAGATAGACTGACTAGACTCAGTGGACGGACTTGCACTGGGGAACGGCTGGGGACACTGACAACCCAGTGGGCCTTAACTGATGACAGAATATACGGGCTCCAGTGGGGGGGTGAGGGGGGAACTATGGGAGGTGCCAGTGGGGATTGGGGTATAAAGATGATTAAGATTGTTTGAGATGTTTCTTTACTATCTTAATATATCAAAACTGTCAAAGCAATAAAATATTTAATAAAGTAATTATTTCAATTAACATAGGCTTTAGAAATACTTCCATTCGAAAATGGGTTTCTTAGTAAAAGGTAATTAGAAAAATAAAGTTTGTAGACCATGGTTTTATTAAAAGTATATTAAAAATAAGCTGTTGGAAAAGATGCTACACCCATCAATGGTCAGTACAAAGCAGTAGTGACTCACCCCTCCCCCAAGAGAAGGCTCTTTTCTTCCTTCACCCCTTGGGTAAGGAAAGGTAAAAATTACAACTCAGGACTGGGTTACAATGATATCAAGCTACAACTATAGGGGCTATTTTAGATAAAATATTAACGACTCCTTTCTAAAAGACTATGAGCCAGGAATGAATTATATATAGGGGTTGAGAAATAAAAATATTCTCTTTGATCTATCAACTTACTGAATTAAAAAAAAAAAACAAAAACAAAGGCTAGATGTGGTGGCTATACCTTTAATCCCAGCACTCAGGAGGCAGAGGCAGATTCTATGAGATCAAAACTAGCCAGGTCTCCATAGAGAGTTCCAGGCCAGCTGGGGCTACTGAGAGACCCTGTTTCAAAAAAACAAAAAACAAAAAACCCCCAAACAAATCAACAACAACAAAAGCAAATAAACCACCCACAAGCAAAAAATTATAAGTAAATTAAAATAACCACAATAAACTAACCCATAGTCGTTTCTTGTTCTAAGGCTAAACCTTAATTTATCTAACGCCAGATCTTTCTGTAGCTGTTAAATTATTAAGCCCAAATTTACATTTCCCCTATTATTCAATGCAGAATACAAATTCCAGCACAGTATGAGGTTTCAAATCCTGTTTGCTCTCTCCTTCAATAAAAACTGTACTTCAATCTAATTTTTTTTTTTAGAATTAAAAAAAATTTTATGTGCATGTTTTGCCTACATGTATGTAAGTGCACCTGTGTGTGTAATGCCTGCAGAGGCCAGAAGAGGGCACTGGATTCCCTGGAAATGGAGTTTTGGGTGGTTGTCAGGCACTGAACCTGGGTCCTCTGCAAGAACAGCCAATGCTCTTAGCCACTGAGCCATCTCTTCGGCTCCTTAGTTTAATCTTTAAGAGATAAAGTTAACAGATATTTTTTTACCTCTAATTTTTAAGAAAACAAAAGTTTACCCTCTTTTAAAATCACTGTAAAGATAAAAACAGAAGGAAGAAATGGCTAATTGTTTTTTACACAACTATTATTCAGGAATAATCTAAATTGATGAATTTTTGTGACCATTAAAGAAGTTCATTAGGATAACAATCTTACAAAGTTTTATCACAGAATTGCTTACAACTTTTTATATGTTTTTAAAAATATTTTATTTATTATTTTTATTTTATGTGTATGTGTATATTGCCTGCATGTTGGTAAGTGTACCCATGTCGTGCAATGCCCGTGGAGGACAGAAGAGGCCATCGGATCACCTGGAACTGGAGTTACGGAGAGTTGGTAGCTGCCATGTGGGTGCTGGGATCTGAACCCTGGTCTTCTACAAGAACAACTGGTGTTTTTAACCACAGAACCATCTCTCCAGCCCCTGCCTACAACTTTTTAAAGGGCTACAAAAAATATACCTAACCTACAAATCAGGCAAACAAATATTTCATATCATACAGAGACTCCTTTAACAGGTACTCAGTTAAAATTTTTTCCTTAAAGCTGAATTAGACATTTCCATTGCAATTATCATATCATACAAAATCGAGAAAATGAGTAAATACCTGAACTGAAGTGGCTGATTCCTGTAAATGGCCAATAGCAACTGTCCCTTTGGAAGCTGCTAAAGGAACACTGTGCATCTTAGGGACACCCAAAGTATCAGTATTTTCATCTGTCCTATGTGACTGCCAGACTTCCTTTCGATGATGAGATTCAGTAGCTTGCTGGTCTCCAAAAGCAGCCCAAGAACAACCATCTTTCTGTTCACCCTCAAAAGCACTCCAATCTACAGCTTGGCTAGGACCAGCTGAACTGAAGTCTGCAAAATCATCAGAGTCTTGAAAAGTACTACTGTGGCCTTGAACATCTGGGACAGAATCAAAATCCCCAAACTCATTGTCTTGCCCACTTTTCAGTTTTGAATCAGGTTCATTTCCTTTTCCACTAGACTCTTTTGCCAACTGATACTCTTCTGATAAGCTGTCAGAAGTCTGTTTTAGGTCTGACTCAGTAAATACCATTTCTTCTTGGCTAGAAACAGCATTTGTATCCTCCTCAAATTCTCCAAAATCATCACCTGTTTCACCAAAATGTAGAAAATGCTCCAAGGACTCTTCAAAAGTGACATCACTCATTGAATCTTGAGTACCAGTAATAAACGGTGGAGTGGTGCCACTGGCTGTGCCGAAGTCACCAAAATCATCCTCACTGGTACCATGACAACTCACAAAGTTGTTACTATTATTACCATTTTTCATGCTTGCAGAATCATCCATAACATTTTCTTCTGTGGGATCAACATTTGGGCTTTCGGTATTAGTAAACTTTCTACTCTCTTCTTTGGAAGAACCAACTTCTTCATTAACATCAGAAGTTTTAACAGAATCCACGCACAGGTCAGCACATTTAGAAGTAAATAAATCATCTTCCTCAGCTTTACACTGCTCTATCCTAATGGCTTCAGAATCATCAATTGAGTCTACTAAGCTCCAAGCCTCAGACTGAATATTTGAATTTAAAAATTCATCCTGTTGCAGTGTTTGAAGGCCTTGTTTTTCAACATGGAAACCTCTGTTGGTTACACCACTGATTTCTGAAACACAGGCCTGATGTTCTCTATTGATGTTTCCTTTATCATCAGAGTTTCTACCCAAAGATACTTCTACAGAACGCAGTTCGTTGGCTGTGTTAGTGGTGCTGCTTTCCTGAATGGGGAGTGGATCCCCATCATTTAAAACTGCATGTTCTAGTTCTTCTAGTTGTATCCTTTCCTTTTGGGAAAATGCAGCAAAATCTGCAAATTCCTCAACAGGACTAGGTGCAGAATCAAAACTACACTCAGCGCTGTGAGCACTAAGAGGCTTCCATCCCTTTGAATCAGTTATGTTGTCCAGATCATCTGTTCCCTGAGGATTTACAGTTTCTGACCCTGCAAACCCATTTGTTAGAATTTCTACACCAGGAGGCTTTTCACCATTGCAGCTCTCTAACTGCTTGGTCTGATGAACAATGTTTAAATCAGTTCTAAAATCTCCTGGAGAGAAACTTCTGGGTTGTTCAGCATTTGGTCCTTGTTCCACTGCTTCATTTAAATCTCCCGGACTTTCCATGCCATCAATGGAAGTACCTAAAGTTTTAGGTGAAATAATTTCTTTGCTGGTGGTAGAAAGTACAACATCAGACTGACCTTTCACAGAAGTAGAAAGTTCAGTAGTGATATCCTTATCATTACCATTTTTAATGGACTTAAAGCTTGGAAGGCTGTCTACATTTTCTGAATAATCATGAATTGGCATAAAATGGTTTGAAGGTACAAAGTCTTCCTTGGAGCGAGTAAAATCTGGTGTATCAAAGTCAACAAACCCTACACCAGAAGGGCTAACTTCTGAAAATCCACCAAATTCCCCAAATTCATCTTCATCATCATCCTCTGCTCCATTGTCTAGTGGTGGGGGAGATGAAGAGTATATTTGAATGATGTCTGGCTCCATTGTTCAGTGGTTTTCCAATAATTAATTTGTACCTTAAAAAAAAAGAAAAAGATTTTTTTTTGAGGGGGGTAGATTACATACAACAAGGTCTTTCAAAATCATCTCAAAGCTACTTGAAAAGAAGCAAAGTTGACTGGGCATGGTGGTAGTGTCTCTAATCTCAGCACTTAGGAAATAGAAGCAGGAGGATCAGGAGTTCAAGGTTATCCTCAGATATACAGTTAATCAGTCTGGGCTCCATTTGACTGTCTTCAAAAGCCCAAACAACAACAAACCAAAACCACCACCAACAAAACAATGCAAACTTAAACTGCTCTGTTGTTTGTGTGTACATAAATTTGAAGGAGAGTTTTTTAAAAATCTGAAGAGAATTAAAAAAAAATAAGTACTTGAGAGAAAATTTTATAGGTGTGCTTTTGAAAGTATATGTTCAAGATTTTCTGAAATCCCTAACATTTCATTAATGTTCTAACAATGCTTCCAGTAACAAATATGTAAAAAAAGAAAAAAGCCAGTAGGTCATAACTATGTAATCGCATAGCTACATGTATATATAAAGGTGCATGTGTGTCTGTGGAGGCAAGAGGACAAATCTTGATCCCTGTCCCCCATGTGGTTTTTTTACTGGCCTGGAACTTGTCAAGTAGGCTAGGCCAGCTAGCCAGCAAGCCAGGGATTTGATTGTTTCTACCTCCCAAGCTCACTTCCCCTCACCCCATGGGATAGAAACAAGAAAAAAAATCTGTAGATCATAACTGTGTAATCTCACCTACGGAGAAAAATAGCTTAAAAAAATACACAACTGGCTGGCTGTGGTGGTACACACCTTATAACCTAGCACTTGGGATGCTGAGGCAGAAGAAATGCAGGTTTGGGGCCAGCATGGACTACATACGGAGTCCTATGTCACACAGCCAAACCTTGTCTAAAAAAAGACGAGTGCTGCTGGGGTCCGAGGTCGATAATGAGTGAGGATGAACAAGTGAAAGGATGAACAGAAACACTGAAAGGCAACTGAAGAAGCAGCAAGGCAACTCAGAAAACCACCAAGCAACCCCTGACTCCAGCCCTGGCGCCAGAGCAGGGGAAAGGGAATCCAGCACAGCAAGTACAACTTGTTTCTGCAGTTGCTTTCTTCTCTCTGAGCAGCACTGAGGATTACGCCCTCAAGAGAAGATTGACTGAGGAGACCCCCACCTAAAAGTAGAAGGGAAGACTGAGAGATGGCTCAGCGGTTAAGAGCAGGCTGCTCTTGCAGAGGACCAGGGTTTGATTTCCAGCACCCACATAGCAGCTGACAACCAACCATAATTCCACTCCCAGGGGATCCAACACTGTCTTCTGACCTCTGCAGGCACCGCATAACAAGGGCACACTTACAAACTTGCAGGCAATACACTCATACACATAAAAAAAAAAAGGAGAGGAGATAATCATCGTAACAGACACACAAATCTCAACATAGAAAAAAAAAACCACAAGAATTATGAAAAAATAAGACAATATCTCTGCAAAAATTCATAACTCATCAGTAGCTGAACCAAATACATGAAATGCTGCATGAAATAAATAAAATGCTGGGCAAAGAATTAAAAAGATTAATTTTAAAAAAATGATCAATGAAGCTGGGAGTGGGAGTGCACTCCTTTAATCCCAGCACTCAGGAGGCAGAGGCAGGTGGATCTCTGTGAGATCAAGGCCAAAAGGGAGTTCCAGGACAGCTGGGGCTATAGGGAGAGACCCTGTGTCACAACCCCCCCCCCAAAATGAACTGAAAGAGTATAATAATAAATAAACATCTCAATGAATTAAGGAAGATGGTGCAAGGTATGAAAAAACAATTCAATAGAGAGATTCCAAAAAAAAAAAAAAAAAAAAAAAAAGCAAACAATTCTTAGAAAAACTAAGCTCAACAGGTCAACTACTCAGTTGAAAGCCTCACCAACAGACTGGATCAAGCATATCAGGGCTTTAGGGCAACATTAATAAATTATCATTCAGACATAAGGGATTAGGAACAGAAAATACAAGACCTATGGCACACGAGTAAGAGACCAGAATTATGAATAACTGGTGTAGACAAAGAATCAGGGGCTATAGACTAAATGCACCAAAAACCTATTCAAAAATTAGCAAAAAATTTTTGTGTATATGAGTGTATTATGAGTGTACTGCCTGCATGTATCTAAGTGTACCCGTGTGGTGCAGTGTCCTTGGAGGTCAGAAGAGAGTGCTGGATATCCCTGGAACTGGAACACCATGTGGGTGCTGGGAATCAAACCCTGGCTCCTCTGCAAGAGCAGCCAGTGCTCTTAATCACTGAGCTATCTCTCCACCCCCAAATTTCCCAAATCTTAATTTAAAATCCTAAACAGACATATTCAAAAAAGAACCTCTTGGTATTATGTTAAACTGCCAAAAGTACAAGGAAAGAATACTGAAAGCTGAAAGAAAGGTCAAGTCACTTAAAAAAGCAAGTCCATCTGAATAACAAAATTCTCAGCATAAACCCTATAAAGGTTAGAAGGGCATAGAATGATGTATTTTAAGTTTGAAAAAAAGTAACTATCAACTAAGATTATTGTGTACAGCAAAGTTAACCAACAGAATCAAAGGAGATAAAAAACCTTCAAAGATAAGCCTACACCAAAGGAATTCATGACCTCTAAACCATATACACAGAGGAGGAAGTAGAATGAATACAATCATGAAAGCATGGGAAAGAACAAATCTCACAAGAAGAGTAAATAAGCAAATGAGAATTTAAAATGAACCAAATATGATTAATTCAATAAATCATCAAACCTCTAAGATGAACAAGAGCCAGGTATGGTGGCACACACCTTAATCCCAGCATTCAGAGGCAGGAGGATCTGAGTTTCAGGTCCACCAGGGCTACACAGTGAGATGTTATCTAAAAAACAAACACCTCCCACAGAGTATTCAAAACAACCAGAAGAAAGATAACAAAACGACAGGAGCTGCTTTATACCCAAATATTAATGGTCTTAGTTCTCCAATTAAAAGATACAAACTGGCTGAATTAAAAAGCAGACCCATCAATATGCTGCATGCAAGAAATCCACCTCATCAGTAAATACACACAGATTGAAAGTGAAAGGATCTTTGAGGTTAAGGACTGGTCAGTCATGAGCCTTACTAGAAACAAATATTCAAGTCAGAAAAAAAGACTCCATTACCATATATTAATTTGAAATTATCTTCTTTATGAAATCGTATAGAGGAGGAAATAATTCCACTAGCTGAGATATTCTTCTATTGCTGATTTACAAAGGGGAAAATTATAAAGATGCACATAAATCCTATTTTCTTTTTTTGTCTAGTCCTTAATGTTCTGAGATAACTTAGCCTCTAAACTGTTTCCCCTTAACTAAGAAGTTCTTGGTCCAGTGAGTTGGCTCTGCAGGTAGAGATGCTTACTCGCAGACCTGACAAATTGAGTTCGATACCTGGACCTCACAAAGTGGCAGGAGAACTGACTCTGGAGAGTTGTCCTCTGACCTCCACATCTACTCTGTGTGCCCCCATCACTACATAAATAAAAAAATTTCAAAAGTTCCCATTTTTTCCTAGTTTGTTTGCTGTGATAAACATTAACCTAAAGCAACTTGGGGAAGGAAGAATTCATTTTATCTTACATTTAACAGTTCATCATGAAGGGAAGTTAGACTAGGAGCTCAGGATAGGAACCTAGAGGGAGGAACTGAAGCAAAGATCATAGAGAACTGCTGCTTACTGGCTTACTTCCAGGCTCCTGTTCCACTACCTTTCTCATACAGCCCAGGACCACCTACCTGTTTAAGGAGGTACAACCCACAGTGGCTTAGGCCCCTCTATATCAATCAACAGCCAAGAAAACACCTCACAGAAATAGCCATAAGATCAATCTGATGGAGGAAATTTCTCAAATGAGGTTCCTTCTTCCTAGGTATGTTAAATTGGCAACCGAGATTAGCCATTACACTATTTTAGGAGAAAAGTGCCCCCTGTACACATTCTGCTAGTGTGACTGCAATAGTTACAGAGCTTTTGGCTATATGTACTATTTGAACTTAAAAAAAAAATATATATATATAAAACTGAGGCTCGGGATGTGGTGCAGGTGGTAGAAGGCTTGCCTAGCATGTATGAGACCCTAGATTTTATCCTCAGCACAAACTGGGTATGGTGGCGAACATCTACAATCCCAGCACGAGGTGGAGGACAAAGTGTTGCATGTGACTGCAGCACGTGGGAAGCTGGGAATTCCAGGCCAGTCAGGGCTACAATTTGAGCAGTCTTTAAAAACAACAATAACAACAACAACAACAAAAACAAACCAAGAATCTAAAACAAAATGAAATTATTTAAACAAATCATCACAAAAGTCTGACAACAGCATATTATATAGTCATTAACTGAAAATTTTTTCCTCTAATATTTAAAAGCATTCGCAGTGATGGTAACATACCAAAATGACACAAAACCTAGCTCAAAGGGTCTCCATCCTAGTAGTCAAATCAGGGATAATTTGAACATTATAACAGATTAAGAACAGATTATAACCCACTGAATAAAACAACAATCTGAGTCCTCATAGATATAAATACATATGTGGATAGAATGAAAGAAAGACAGATGTAACAGGATATCTTTATCAGTTCTAAGTATCTTTCCATGATATACTTAATTATAAAGGGAAAAAGTATAACTTTATATGGTGAAGCTGGACACTACTTTAATCAACATGTACATCATAAGTGATGGGAACACCAAACTCATGTATCACAGATGAGATGCAATTAGAACAATACACAATCACTTCTGGAATATTGTTATCAAAAATACATAACCTGAATTCATGAGGAAACTTCAGACAAATTCAAATTGACAAACACACTACAAAACAATTGACTTATAAAAGTGCCAAGATAATAAGTATCAAAGACTTAAGAATTCTGACTGAAGACTAAAGAGACCTAAGTAAATGCAATTACTTGATTCTCAAATGGATTCCCTTTTTATAAAGGTC